CATCTGCCCTGCAAGATCTTCAAGATCCTCATGTTGTCTGCCCCAAACCTATTTGCAACAGAGGGTGGAGTAAACATTCCAGAGGGATCCCTGCTGGTATCCACTTCTCTGGCAGGGAAAGTGCCTTTTGACTAACCTTTCTTATCTTATCGTCCCCTTAGTTCCCTCAAAGTTAAGGACTCTCCTCAGGTTTGGATTATGAATTACAGCGACTGTTCAGGGTCACTTCACCTGAGACAGTGAGCTCCACAGGGGCACTGGCATATGACAACAGGTAGAGAGATGAGTCTTGAGAACTATAGCACCTGTAGGTGCCCGAGAGGTCAGAGGTCACAGCACTCATGGTGAATTCTGCCTGGAACTCCCCAAACTGGAACTTTGGTTTTAGTCTCTGGCGTGGGTGTGCTGCTCCCTCCTTGGACAGAATGAAAGTGTCCGCTTTGTATGCTGTCTTACACAACAGGTTCACGTTGTCTCCAGAGTGTACCGTGGAGTTAGGCTTCACTGAGAGGGAAGGGCGGACCTGAAACTGTCCTAAAAAAGAGAGAGATGATGAGAGGCTGCCTTCAATGTTCTGAGCTGACACAACACCTGGATCTTCCATGAACACCTAGGACTCTCTTTTCTTTGCCTGAGCCTCTCTCCTGCTCCACTGTCTCTGTACCTATTGCTAAATAAGATCCCTGTCCCTCATCCCAGCCATCACCTCCCTAATTCCCCAAAGAGAGCCCTAGTAGAGGTTAGGTACCCAGGGGAATGTATTTAGTTCCTCACCTGAGATCAGGATGTCCAGGGGGTCACTGGATGCTGACCACTCAGAGGAGACATTGTGAGCACCATAGCATCTGTACCGGCCTCCAGTAGAGCTGCTCACAGAGCCCAGTGTGAAGTTGGCCATGGAGAGACCAGACTGAGTCAACTGGCCATCTTGCTGGATGAAGTCAGCTCCCCCCAATTTGTACAGAGCAAATCTGTCATATTTGATGTCAGAGCAACACTGCAGGGTGAGGCTCTTTCCAGGATCCAGGATATGGCCTTGATGAGTCAGTAGGGAGGGTTTCTTAGACAGCCCTAGAGGAAGGTGACAGGCTAGTGATGGAGGAGCTGGTTTTTACCAAGCACTTATCCTCTCCCATCCTGCCCTGCACACATCACTGCTTCTAC